TGTGCGAGGGGCTTGGACCCTTTCCCGCAGGTATGCATGAGCGTGTTTGAAAAGGAGTGAAATGGAGACAAATGGGTTTTTAATACTTGACGTGCTGTTGGAATGTGAGCAAAGTAACATTTATGAAGGGGTTCAGGGAAACCGGCAGGCCGGACTTGAGTCCTGGAGATGGGAAGTACAGTGCCTGCACTCTGAAGGAGGGGTGTTAATGTTGCAGTTTAAAAACTGTAGTGTAAAGCACCCTTCTGGCAAGACAGTGATGGAGTGAATGATGGTGAAAGTTTTTCTTTTTCGGGCCACCCTGCCTTGGTGGGAATCGGCCAGTGTGATAATAATAAAAAAAATAATAATTATATACTGTTTACATGCATATCAAGCAGTCTCCTTTTGCAAGATAAAAATATTGCTGAGAGTTTCATCATGGTTTTACCATATTTTACTGTGAACAAGATGCTCCAGTGTCAAGGATGCCACCCCAAGTCTGACTTGCTTAATTTGGGAAAACAAACAGTATTCATGGTAATAACAGTAATGAAGTTATGTTAAGCCTGAAGCATTACATGTAAAAAGACGTGTTGATGGATTGTTCTGCGGTTATTTATCACTGATACAACTGACTGGGATGTTTGCCAGTCAGCTGCTTCAGCCAAAACTTGCTACATTTACATGAAACAGTGCTAAGAAACTCGCCAGCATACAGGCGATTATTCTAGATCTGCTAAATCCCAAGCATGAGATTAAAAGATTCTTACATTCAGAACTGTCAACAAAATGTTCTTTGCAGTTAACTTAAATAGTCAACTACTCATAATGAACAATGTTCAGCAATGACAAAGACATACTGCCCTCTCAGGTTTTCAATTTATTAAGTTTATTTAGGTAGGGGCACATATAAATAGTTACACAAATTATCATACATAGTAACATGTGTAAATTACCTAGGATAACCCAAAAAAAAAAGGCAGACAAGTGACTTATTACCACTGGGGTCCGTGCTTTCCATTGTTTGCCATTGTGTACTGAATGGTTCTTCAGTTTTCTTGTGCTTGGCAGTATTTTTCTCTTTTAATGTGACTCAATTTAGCTGCAATTGAACATTCACAAGACACTTTCACTCATACAAGTCACATACAATATGTGAACTGGACCAGACTGGCAGTGTTCTCTTCCTACTCACTGTCTCAGCACAGCAAGTGGTTGTGTCTACGGCTAGGAATACATATTGATTTGTGATGGTTTTCATGGGTTTTAAAAATATTTTATGTTTATGTTTTTAAGTTGTGCTTTTATTTAATAAATGTATGGAGGAGGGTAAGGTACCTAGGGGTTGGCATAGATCATGCATAGCTCCTTTGCATAAAGGAAAAGGGGACAAAAGAGAGTGCAAAAATTATAGGGGAATAAGTCTGTTGAGTATACCTGGTGAAGTGTATGGTAGAGTTATTATTGAAAGAATTAAGAGTAAGAGGGAGAGTAGGATAGCAGATGAACAAGGAGGCTTTAGGAATGGTAGGGCATATGACAAAGTGGATAGGGGAGCAATGTGGCTGATACTGCAAATGTATGGAATAGGAGGTAGGTTACTGAAAGCAGCAGAGATTTTTTAAGAGGATAGTGAGGCTCAGGTTATGTGTGTAGGAGAGAGGGAGGAGATTATTTCCCAGTAAAAGTAGGCCTTAGACAAGGATGTGTGATGCCACCATGGTTGTTCAATATATTTACAGATGGGGTTGTAAGAGAAGTGAATGCTCGGGTATTGGCAAGAGGTGTGGGGTTAAAAGATAAAGAATCTAACAAAGTGGGAGTTGTCACAGTTGCTCTTTCCTGACGACACTGAGCTTTTGGGAGATTGTGAAGAGAAGTTGCAGAGGTTGGTGGATTAGTAGGGTATGTAAAATAAAGAAAATTAAAAGTGAATATAGGAAAGAGTAAGATGATGAAGATAAAAAAAAGTTAGGTATCAAAAGACTGGATATTAGAGTGGAGGAAAAGAGTATGGAGGAGGTGAATGAATTCAGATATTTAGGAGTAGATGTGTCAGCAGATGGGTCTATCAAAGATGAGGTGAATCATAGAATTGATGAGGGTAAAAAGGTGAGTGATGTACTTAGGAATCTGTGGAGACAAAGAACTTTGTCCATGGAAACAAAGAGGGGAATGTATGACAGTATGGTTATACCAATGCTCTTATATGGGTGTGAAATATGGGTGGTGACTGTTACAACAAGGAGAAGGCTGGAGGCAGTAGAGATGTCATGTCTGAGGGCAATGTTTGGTGAGAATATAATGCAAAGAATTCGCAGTTTGGAAATTAGGAGGAGGTGCAGGATTACCAAAACTATTATCCAGAGGGCTGAGGAGGGGTTGTTGAGGTGGTTCGGAAATGTAGAGAGGTGGAACAAAATAGAATGACCTAAAGTGTGTATAAATCTGAAGTGGAGGGAAGACAGCCTAGGAAAGGTTGGAGGCAGGAGGTAAAGGAGGTTTTGTGTGCGAGGGGCCTGGACTTCCAACAATCATGTGTGAGTATGTTAGATAGGAGCGAATGGAGGCGAATGGTTTTTAGGATTTGACGTGCTGTTGGAGTGTGAGCAAGGTAACATTTATGAGGGGATTAAGGAAACTGGCAGGCCAGACATGAGTCCTGAAGATGGGAAGTACAGTGTCTCCACTCTGAAGGAGGGTTGTTAATGTTGTAGTTTTATAACTGTAGTGTAAGTGCACCTCTGGCAAGACAGTGATGGAGTGAATGATGGTTAAAGTTTTTCCTTTTTGGGCCACCCTGCCTTGGTGGGAGACAGCCGATGTGTTAATAAAAAAAAAATTAAGTTTATTGATTTTACTATTTAATGAGAGAACATTTGTACTTCAACACAACTAAAACAAACCTACGGTGTGCAACTGGTGGCTTTTGTACATTTTTTTTTTTTCAACAAGTCGGCCTTCTCTCACCGAGGCAGGGTGACCTAAAAAGAAAGAAAATGCCCAAAAAAAAAATACTTTCATCATCATTCAATACTTTCACCTCACTCACACAATATCACTGTTTTTGCAGAGGTGCCCAGGATACAACAGTATTGAAGTATATACGTATAAAAATACACAATATATCCCTCCAAACTGCCAATATCTCAAATCCCTCCTTTAGAGTGCAGGCATTGTACTTCCCATTTCCAGGACTCAAGTCCAGTTACATAAAATAACCGGTTTCCCTGAATCCCTTCACTAAATATTACACTGCTCACACTCCAACAGCTCATCAGGTCCCAAATACCATTTGTCTCCATTCACTCCTATCTAACACGCTCACGCACACTTGCTGGAAGTCCAAACCCCTCGCCCACAACACCTCCTTTACCCCCTCCCTCCAACCTTTTCGAGGACGACCCCTACCCGCCTTCCCTCCCATACAGATTTATATGCTCTCCATGTCATTCTACTTTGATACATTCTCTCTAAATGACCAAACCACCTCAACAAACCCTCTTCAGCCCTCTGACTAATACTTTTATTAACTCAACGCCTTCTCCTAATTTCCACACTCCAAATTTTCTGCATAATATTTACACCACACATTTTTAGACAGGACATCTCCACTGCCTCCAACCGCCTCCTCACTGCAGCATATGAAGGATGAGGTTAATCATAGAATTGATGAAGGAAAAAAGGTGAGTGGTGCATTGAGGTACATGTGGAGGCAAAAAATGTTATCTATGGAGGCAAAGAAGGGAATGTATGAAAGTATAGTAGTACCAACACTCTTATATGGGTGTGAAGCTTGGGTTGTAAATGCTGCAGCGAGGAGGCGGTTGGAGGCAGTTTAGATGTCCTGTCTAAGGGCAATGTGTGGTGTAAATATTATGCAGAAAATTCAGAGTGTGGAAATTAGAAGGTGTGGAGTTAATAAATGTATTAGTCAGAGGGCTGAAGAGGGTTTGTTGAGGTGGTTTGGTCATTTAGAGAGAATGGATCAAAGTAGAATGACATGGAGAGCGTATAAATCTGTAGGGGAAGGAAGGCGGGGTAGGGGTCGTCCTCGAAAAGGTTGGAGGGAGGGGGTAAAGGTGGTGTTGTGGGTGAGGGGTTTGGACTTCCAGCAAGCGTGCGTGAGCGTGTTAGATAGGAGTGAATGGAGACAAATGGTATTTGGGACCTGACGAGCTGTTGGAGTGTGAGCAGGGAAATATTTAGTGAAGGGATTCAGGGAAACCGGACTGGAGTCCTGGAAATGGGAAGTACAATGCCTGCACTCTAAAGGAGGGGTTTGGGATAGTGGCAGTTCGGAGGGATATACTGTGTATTTTTATACGTATATACTTCTAAACTGTTGTATTCTGGGCACCTCTGCAAAAACAGTGATTATGTGTGAGTGAGGTGAAAGTGCTGAATGATGATGAAAGTATTTTTTTTTTGAAGGATTTTCTTTCTTTTTGGGTCACCCTGCCTTGGTGAGAGACAGCCGACTTGTTGAAAAAAAAAAAATGTTCCTTTAACATCTGGATCATTTGAGGTGATTTGATGGTAAACAGATGATTTACCATACTCATACTACCATAGTTCATCCAACTCCATCACCTGGCTTACCTTAGCCTCCTGTTGCTAAGAGCCAACAAATTATTACAATTATTATTATTTAGCCATTATTTTATACAAAACAGTATACATGATTCATTACTGGGTCATGTACAGGAGCTTAGATTACTGTGTTTTATCGAAAACTTCTCTAAGCTTAAGTTGAGTCCTCTCAGCAATGCAGATATGACTTGGGCTTGCCTAGTATGGGCCAGTAGGCCCGCTGCAGCGCTCCTTCTTTCTTATTATCTTATGTAACCTTCGGCCTTCAAGATGCAAGGTACATTTTCAAGACTTAGTTGGGGAAAAAATAGCATCTTCAACACCTTACATTACTTATTAATAGTCGGAAACTCAACCAAAAATATCATAGGGACCACGACCAATTGCATGAAAATGTATTTATTGATTAGTGATACCCCATTTACCTGCTCAACATCGTCAAGGCTTGATGCCACACTGTGATTGCTTGCAGCTTCACTAATCGCTTCCAAATTGTCTGAAGTATTGCCAATAGATCCTTCATCATGTGAAAGTGAAAAACGTGTCCTTTTTTCTATAGTAGCCTCCCCTCCACCACCATCACCTTCATCCTCTACATTCATCCTTACACGAGAGGTGGATTTTGTCTGTGAAAAAAAAAATGAAATGGAGAATCGTGACAAATGTCATGAACAATGAGTTTTAATGCTAATTTTGAAAATTAGGGTTTAAAGGACACACAAAATTGTGCACTTTGGTCAAATATGTAATGCAGCACAATTATGCCATAAATCAGCCATATCAGAAGGTTGGGCCACTGGGGCTATGATCCCCTAAACCACTAACAAGATTCACTGTTTTTCCTGTCTATCAATGAAGGTTCACTAGCACTGAATAAAGGCTTAGATAAAATCCCTCCAGGTTTAACTAGGTAGCCACTGTATTGGCTAATTACATTATCATTATTATTATAGAAAATTACAATTACTAATACAGTAGTCTCCCATATCCATGGGGGATCCATTCCAAGACCAACCATGGATACATGAAACCGTGGATAGTAGTAAACCTTACATGTATGATGCATGTGTGTGTATGTGCATGAATTGTGTGTGTATATATATATATATTATATATATATATATATATATATATCTCATACATTTCCCCTCTTTGCCTCCAAAGGACAAAGTTCTTTGTCTCCACAGTTATTATGGGCACCATTCACCCTTTTCCTCTCAATTCTTTGATTACCTCATCTTTCATAGACCATCGGCTGATCACGTCCACTCCCCAAATATCTGAATACCATTCACTCCTCCCTCTCTCTCCCTCCAATCTGATATCAATCTTTCATTAACCTAATCTTTTTGTTATCCTCATAACCTTACTCTTTCCCTGTATTCACCTGTAATTTTCTTCTTTTGCACTCCTACCAATTCATCCACCAATTTCTTGCAACTTCTCTCAGAATATCCCAATAGCACAGTTGTCATCAGCAAAAGAGCAACTGTGACACTCCACTTTGGTGGGATTCTTTATCTTGTATACTCCACTCCTTTTCTTGTCGAGACCCTGCGCATTTCCTTTCTTACAACCCCATCTATAACTATATTAAAACATCCCACGTTTGGTGACATCACACTCCGGGGTCTAAGGCATACTTTTACTGGGAAAATAATTTCCCTCTTTCCTATGTACTCTAACCTTGAGCCTCATTTCTCGTAAAACTATTCATGCTTTTTGTAACCTACCTCCTCCCCATACCCTGCAACATCTGCTCCACATTGCCCCCCCTATCCACCTGTCAGATGCTTTTCCAACTTTCCATAAATGTCACAAAGACCTCCTTTAGCCTTATCTAAATTACTGTTCACTGATATGTTTCACTGTAACCACTGGTCCTCACACGCCCTACCTTTCCTAAAGCCTCCTTGTTCATCTGCTTCTATCCCTATTCTCCAGTCTTACTTTTAATTCTGTCAATAATACCTCTACATTACACTTTACTAGGTTACTCGACAGACTTATCCCCTATAATTTTTGCCACTCTCTTTAGTCCCCTTTGCCTTTTATTACAAAGGATACTATGCATGCTTCTGCCAATCCCTAGTACCTTACCCTCTTCCATACATTAATTAACCTCCTTTGAGGTGACAGCCCTCTACACGAAACTCGTTCTTCAGGGTTCGGGCCAAATTTAAAAAAAAAAAAAAATTATTTTCTCTAATGAAGATAGAGAATCTTTTCCCGCTCATAAACAGGGACACCCACCAGTTTGAAATTTGATAGAAAACTTAGAATTATGCTCTCGCCAGTTAGCGGGTCTCGGCGATGGTTAGCATCGGCCGGATTTGCCCCACTTTGAGCCCCATTTTCGGCCAATTTCACTGCTTACTAGTCGACAAAAAACCATTGAAATAATTTCGCTAGAATCCATTTTTTCTTATCGAATGGGGGCAAGAAACCACCATTTATGAAATTCAAATATACAGTACCGTGGTCAGAATTTAGCAATTTGCCAATTGCACCACAATTTCAAAAAGATGCCAATTTCCGAATTGGGTCCAGAAATAAACAGATGAGACATTCCTGGCACTAATATGGACATTTCTCTATCATTAGTCCACGTCTCAAGGCCCTCCCTCTTATATTCTTTTGCTTTCACTTTGGAATTGTTATTTTCACCAAAAATATAAGCTTTGACTGTTATGCAGGACTACTGCTTTAGTGTAAAAAATGGTCTAAATAGTATTGGTGCACTTCGTGAAGAATATTAGACTCACCAGTGTTGGAGTGTATTGCACGCTTGGCATATTTGGCTTACTTTTGAGTTTGGTAAAAAGTCGAACATTTCGGCTTACTTTGAAGAAAAATACTCAATTTCCAAAGGCACCTTTCATTGTTAAAACCAGTCAAAAATCATCTCACTTTTCTGTAATATGTCTTCATTCTATAAAAATGAGAACACGAAAAACTAGAATACAAACCAATAATTCCATACAATAATTACACTGCAAAGTCGCTGATTTATTAAAAAAATGGTCAAAGTTGTTATTTTCTCATTATGCACTGTGGGCTGCATTGATTTTTTTTAGATTGGCCCCTGACCACCTAGACATTCTTTTCATATTTGATGGCCTTTACCAGCTGTTCTCCCACTAGTTTTGAGGCACGGAATTTATGAGTATAGTACGTCATAAAACCCCCTATCGGTCTATAAGGACGTACTAGTACGACCAAAACCATCAAAGGGGTAATTAATTGCACCAACACTCCAAACTATCACCCCACTTGCTTTTAAACATTTCTATCTTTTTCCCATCAATACCGGCTGCCCTTACCCCCTTTCATTTTACTACTGCCTCACGACTTTCCCCCTCACTCACCACGGGCTCTTCTTCACTCCTACTAGATGTTATTCACTCCGTTGCCCTATTACTCAAAAATCACAGCTGCCCTCATCTTCATCAACATTTAACAATTCCTCAAAATATTCCCTCCATCTTCCAATACCGCGAATACTCTCCATTTAACCCTTTGAGGGTCGACTGGCCCTCTACGAAACACGTTCTCAGGGTCGCCAAAATTTACAAAAAAAAAATTAATTATTTTCTCTTATGAAAGGATAGAGAATCTTTTTCCGATCTTTAAAGGACCACCAAGTTTGTATTTTTGATAGAAAACTTACAGAATTATGCTTCTCGCATAAGTTAGCAGTCTCGGCGATGTTGCGCATCGGCGATTTTGCCCATTTGCGCCCATTTTCGGCCGTATTTCACTGTACTAGTCGGACAAAATACATGAATAAAAATTTCGCTAGAATCTTTTTTTCTATCGAATGGATGCAAGAAAACCACTCATTTATGAAATTCAACTATCCAGTATCGTGGGCAGTATTTAGCAATTTTGCCAATTTCACACCAAAAATTTCAAAGATGCCAATTTCCGATAGGGTCCAGAATTAAACAAGAAAGACATTCCTGGCACTAAAATGACATTTCCTCTAGTTCAATAGTCATGTCTCACGTCCCTCTTATATTCTTTTTGCTTTCCACTTGAGTTTTTAATTTTCACAAAAAATATAGATTTACTGTTATGCAGACTACTGCATAGTGTAAAACAAAATGGTATAAATATTATTGGTCACCTTGTTGAAAGAATATTGGACTCACAGTTGAGTGTATTGCACGCTTGGCACGATTTGTTTATTTTGAAGTTTGGTAAAAAAATCGAACATATCGGCTACTTAGAGCTCAATTTTCAGGCACCTTTCTGTGTAAAAAACCAGTCATAATCATCTCAATTTCTGTTTTATGTCTTCAATTCTATAAAATGAGACCAAGAAAACTAGAATACAACAATAAATTCCATACGTTTAATACACTGCAAAGTCGTGATTATTATAAAAAAAAATTTCAAAGTTTTTTTTTCTCATTAAGCACTGTGTGCTGAGGATTTTTTATTAGGATGTGCACACGGACCACATTAGTACCATTCTGTTCTATGATGGCCTACAGCTTTCTCCATTAGATTTGAGGACCGCTAAGTATCTTTGGAGTACTAGTACGTCATAAAACCCCTGACGCCGTAAAACGTACTAGGACGACGAAAACCCTCAAAGGGTTAATTAACTCCCCTCTCTATTTTTTAAACTGACAAATCATTTGTGTCTCTTGGTGCCTTATCTTGTTAAGCTTACCCAAAACTTTTTTCTTATTTTCAACCAAAATTTGTCGATGAACATCTCATCATCGCTATCATTTGCTCTCTTTGTCATTGCATGTCCCCCACTCTCTTAACCTCTCTCTTTTTCTCCTTATACTCTTCCCTCATTGCATCACTTCTACTTTGTAAAAAACTTCTTCATATGACGAACTTTTTCTCCCTCTATACTTCTTTACATTCAGCATTGCCTCAATCGCTCCTCTTCCCTCCCGCACCCTCTTTCCTGTAACACTAGCTTCTGCTGTACACTCCTACACTACATTGTTAAACCTACCCCATACCTGCTTCGACCCATGGCTATGCTATTCATTGCCCCATTATTATCCTCCATTAGTGTTTATATCCGTTCCCTAACTTGCCTCCTCTTTTAGTTTATAAACCGTCACCTCCTCTCTACCCTGATGCTTCTTATTCTCCTTGTATCCCATCTCCTTTTACTCTCAGTGTAGCTACAACTAGAATGTGATCTGATATAGCTGTGGGCCCCTCTATAAATCATGTACTCCTTGAAGTTACTTCAATCAGTCTTTTATCTTCATTACATAATCCAACCAAACTACTGTCCATTTCGACCTACTTCTATATCTTGTATACTTATTGTTTCCTGCTTTTTCCTTAAAATATGGCTAGTACCTATTACTAAACCCATTTCTATACAAAGTTCAATCAAAGGGCTCCCATTATCATTTTCACCGGGCCACCCCAAACGTACTACCACACCCTCTCTAAAAGTTTCTTACTTTTAGCATTTCTGGTCCCCTTACTCAATTACTCTCTCACCTTGGTTCCTCAAAGGCTCCTATACATTCACTTAAACATCTCCCAAAATCTCTCTCTCTATGCATTCCTCTCTTCTCAGGTGCATACACGCTTTATTATGCACCCACTTCTCGCATCCATCCTTTACTGTAATCCACATATTCTTGCATTTACAAATT